TAACGCCCCCACGGCTGAAAGGGCGAGCAAGTTTGGTGTGATGGGGATTCAAACCCGCGACCCGCAGATTGCGAGTCGAGTAACCTAACCACCTGGCCATGCCGGGCCTGACTCAACTGTCCGTCTATGTCTGTCTGCAATTCTATCTAGATTCGTTTCGTTTTTCTTGGCAGTTATTTAGATTTAAAAATAATTATTTATTCGGAAATAATTACTAATCTGGGAAGATTAAACAATCCACCGTGCTCGTGGTCTAGGAATATGGGCTTAACTTGAGAAAATAGGAAATTAATGCAGACGAGGTATGTAGTTTTAAAAAGGTAAAGAGAGAGTGTAACTGTAGACAATAAAAAGTGAAGAGCAAAGTAAACTAAAATAAACGGCCGATATCGGACAGATGGTCCATCAGGGCGGCGGGGATCTAAAAATCCTATGCCGAGAATTCCATGTGGGGGAAACGGGAGTACCCCGAGAAAACCCACTTTCACTGGTAACGACTGATTCGTTACCAGTGCCCGATTAATGAGAAGAAGTAAGTAGGGAAGGCAAAGTGAAGTCCGGTGCTGGGGGTGGATTAGTTTTTGAGACTGTTGTGGAGTCTCTTGGAGTTTATCAAGGTTTTAAATTGGCATAGTTTCTTGTTTCAGGCAGGTGGTAAAGGCGTGGAGTTCTCGGTGTCGTTGGTGAGTGAGCGGAAGACTGAGAAAGGTGCGTCGGGTAGGTAGAGATCGGAGGAGGTGTCGATTACTAAGGCGTTCGGTGAGCTTGACGTCGATGATGTAGAAAGTGGCTTAGGGCTGGGAGTCGCGTTGTTGGTTTGTTGATAGGCGTCGATGGTAAATGGTGACTGCTTTTTCCTCCTGGTAGTGGTGGTTTGGGTAGACATATGTTGTGTTTCAGGAGTGGATGAGGTTTGAGTAGCTTGGTCTGTTGTATTAGGATGAGCGGTAGAGTACTGGTTGGCGGTGGTTTTCTTCTGGGTGTTGTGAAACGTGGGCTTGGGGGTGGGTGAGGCTTGCGATAAGGTTTTTCTGCCTTGAAATCAAGGAAGCAGCCGTGGGTGAGGATGAAATCTGCTGTATTTTTTGAAGTTGTGACAACTTTCATAAACGTGGATCTAGATTCATTGTCTGGCGCACTTATATACAAGAATACCGCACATCTAGCAAACACTAGAGCATTCACGAACC